TGATTGCAAGAAGCTGAAGAAGAGAAGAAACTGAGAAGATATCTTCTCAAAGTCAACTTCTCTTCTGACAAACATATCTGCAGAAGATAAAGAAGAGAAAGAAAAGAATTGACAATTCTCATATCTCTGAGTTCATGTTATGATTATAATACATACTCTGAATAAGAAGATATCAGTGAGATGCCTACTCAACTCTGAGACAGATATTAACTTCATATTCTATTCCTTTTCTTTGATGAAGGATTGAAAGAAGATAGGTCTGTCAGACTATGTGAAATTTACAGATGAAATGAAATGTCACTGTTTTAGCATAATTCAAGCAAAGTGTGTGATCACAGACTCTGAAGAAATCTTCAAGAAGAGTAGTCTGCTTCTTCATACAGTCAATATTATAGATGAGAATATCATTCTAGATCTTTTATAATTAAGAGAAAACAATTCTCTCATTAACTGAATCACTCAGATGTGACAGTATCACCTCACTGATGAAGAGACAGTGATAGAGAAATCTGAAGAGTTTCATCAAAAGAATCTTAAGAAAAAGATTGAGTTGATATACTATGTAGTAGGTGATTGAGACTTGAGAATAGATGAAGAAGTCATCATTCTTGCTACAAGATTAGCAGCAGTATCTGTTATTGAAGATGAATATATACAATGTCTCTTTACAGATTTTAAGAATGTCTTTTTGAAAAGGAAAGCAGTGAAGTTTCCTGATATCAAGATATAATATAAGATTTGTCTTGAAGACAGTGCAACAGTGTCATATGAGTCTCTTTACAACTTGTCTGTAAAGGAGTTGAATGTTCTGCACAAATATCTTGAAGAAGCACAATCAAAGAACTGAATACATTCATCAAAGAGTCTGGCAGAGATGTCTATACTCTTTATGCTCAAGAAGAATGATAGGCTACATCTATATGTAGACTACAGAGGCCTTAATAAGATGATGATTAAGAATTACTATTCATTACTATTAATCAATGAGATGATTAATCAATTATCTGAAGCAAAGATGTTCTTGAAGATTGATATACAGAATGTCTATTATAGAATCAGAGTTAATGAAGATGATATTTGAAAAACAGCTTTTTATATCAAGTATAGCAATTTTGAATATCTTGTTTTATCTTTTGATCTTTGTAATGCTTCAGTCATCTTTCAGACCTATATAAATGAGACACTGTGAGGCCTTGTCAATGTCTTCTGCATAGTATACCTGAACAACATTTTAATCTTCTTAAAATCAGAGAAAGAACATGATACCCATGTTTGAGAAGTGTTGAGTTACTTGAGATAGCATCAACTCTATATAAACACTGAAAAATGCTTGTTCTACATGCAGAAGATTGATTTCTTAGATTATATTATTGAGATGAATGGCATTTCAATGAACAGAAGTCAGGTCTCTGTCATTGAGAACTGACCAGTGCTGTGAATGTACCGCGAGATGCAGGTGTTTCTAGAATTTGTGAATTTCTATAGATGATTTATCTATGCATATTCACAGATTACTGCTTCTCTTACAGATCTGTTAAAGAGAAGTGTGAAAGACAGGAAAACAGAACTGTTTATTCTCACTCAAGATGCCGCGCAGGCATTTGCAGAATTGAAACAAGCTTTCACACATGCTGTGATACTGAATCACTTTAACTCTGACTTATTCAGTCAGTGTAAGACTGACACATCTGAGAATGAGATCTGTGAAATCTTTTCACAGTTAACACTGAAGATCTTTCAACATTGAAAGAATCAGAGAATAATCATCTCTGAGAAAACAGACAATGAATTGTCTGTGAGAGAAGACTTTTTCACAGAGTCTATAAGATGCTATGAATAAAGATCAGTGATCTTCTTCTTCAAGAAGTTATTGCTCATACAGAGAAGATATGATACTCATGATTAGAAGATGTTAGTAATTATTGAATTCTTTAAGATCTGATGATATTATCTTCAGAGTAGTAGATACTCAGTGCAAGTTCTCACTGATCATATAAATCTATGTTACTTCTTGACAACAAAGAGCTTGATAAAATGTCAAGCCAGGTGAGCAGAGCTGCTTTCAGAGTATGATTTCTATATCTGATACTGTTCAGGTCAGCTTAACCCTGCTGATATGCTGTCTAGACAGCCTGATTATAATATCATTGATATAGAGAAGAATTCTATAAAAGAATCTCTGTCATCACTGTAGAAGAAGCTGACTGCAGAGAGTTGAGATTTTCTAAAGTGTAGAAACAGCACTGAAGAGGCAGCTGCATGACTCAGTATAGAAGGTGAAAGAGAACTCAGATTCTTACAGAGAACTGACACTGAAGATCATGAGCTTCTTATATTATATCTTACAATCATTGAATTGACAAAGAATGAAACAGTCTACAATCTTTCAACTTAACTACTTTTGAAATTCATTAATAAGTTATAGAAGAAGGACATCTCTACTGCAGCTTAAATTCAGAAGTTAAAGAAGAAAGAGTCTAATTTGAACTTGAAAGAGACAGGCTCTGAGTGAGATGATACTGCTAAGGAATCAAGTCACTGATAACTAGAAGAATGTGAACTTCTACTGCTGAATGATTCAGTCTTCATCTCTCATAGCAGGGCGATGTGCCAGAAGTTATTGAGAATTCATCATAATAATCCCCATGTGAAGCACTTCAGATTAGAGAAGACTGAGAAGCTTCTAAAATGTAAATACACTTGAAACAAGCTCTGAGCAGATATCAAAGAGTATGTTAAGACTTACAATGTCTGTCAAAGAATAAAGATTCTGCAGTATAAGTAATACAGTGAGTTGATATCACTGCCTATTTTAAAGAGCTTATGACAGAATCTATTAATGAATTTCATAGTTGATCTGCTGAAGTTAACAAGAGTCAAAGAATATGACTTAATTTTAGTCATTATTAACTGCTTTATGAAGATGATTAGATATATTTCTACTTATAAAAAGATTAAAGCTTCTGAATTGACTGATCTGTTTTTAGATACTATTATTCATGATCATGATACTCTGAAATTATTGATAACAGATCAAGAATCCCTCTTTATCAGCAAGTACTGATCAGCTTTTTACTATCATCTTACAATAAGACATCTTCTCAGTACTGCATTTCATCTGCAGACTGATGACCAGACTGAACACTAGAATTAAACACTAGAACAGTATCTTTGAGTGTTCTGTTTATATTATCAGAATGATTGACTTAAACATCTTCTGACTGCTGAATTCATATATAACAATACAAAGAATGCAATCTTAAAGATATCTTCTTTCTATACTTATTATGAATATAATTCTTTGTTACTCAGTGATGTTACAGATGACATTTCAAAGAGAGAGATAGACAGTCAAAATATTGAACAGATACAGAGAATGAAGTATCTCTCAGTATTAGAAGTAAAAGCAAGATTGAAATTTTTGAATAAAATTCATGAGAAGACAGTGAAAAGCATCTGTCACACTCAGAAGTAGTAGATGAAATACTATAATTGAAAACATCTTTCAATGAAGTTCTTAATAGAGAATCAAGTACTACTTTCAGCAAAGAATATTAAGACAATGAGACTGTGTAAGAAGCTCAGTGAGTGATGACTAGAATCTTTCCTAGTAACAAGAGTGATGAGTAAGCAGATATATGAGTTGAAATTACTCACAGAATTGAAATCAATTCATTCTGTTTTTCACATTTTCTATTTGAAGCTCTATAAGTAACATCTCAGAGCAGAGCTGTCTCAGCTGAATAGTATTGAGATCAAGAGTGATACTGAATATCTTATGAAGAAAATATTAAATAAGTAAACACATTATAGTAAGCTTCAATACCTTGTTAAATAAAAAGATTATTCATTATCAGAGAATTCATGAAAACTGCTTAAGCATTTGAAAAATGCTGAGAAAGAGATTGCAATCTATGAGATAGCTAGTAGAGATCACTCTGTTACATGCTAGAGATATTAGATAAGAAACACTGCTTAAGACTTCTTATTTTTCTCAAAGAGTTTTTTAGAGATGATCTTACAGTGATGAGTCAGTGTCTTGTAGACTCTGTAGCACTCTTCTTCTATTTTCTCTCAAAGAGTTTTTAGAAGTTTAATGAGATTATACAAGTATAACATTTCTGAAGTAGTTAAAAGAAAAGAGATATTTAAAATTAATAAAAAGATTAATATTATCAATCTGCAAGCTGCTGCTATTCTAATGAGACTGCAGCTTGCTGAAAAAGTAAAAAGAGAAATCAGAGTCTACTCATCAATAATCACACTCTTATCAAACTCATTCTTCACTGTTAAAGTCTTCAGTATCAGCATCTTTATCTGCTGAGAAGTTAGCACTGCAGCACTGCAGAAGAGCAGAAGAAATATATGAAATATCAACTTATCAACTTACAAAGCATCTCAGTCATCTGCTTTAATTGAAGCAAGATTCTCTTCAATCAGTAATTGATCTTCACAGCACTTTCAACAGTGATGCTAACTGATCTCTTCTTAAGATCAGTCATTCTGAGATGTTTTTTCATCTTGAAGATTCACACTTTCATCTTCTTTTATAGATGAGTAAGAGAAACCTTCTCAGTCTTGACAGAATTCATCAATACTTAAAGCTTCAAGATTCTTGCTCTGTACTGCTTGAGCATCTGAGCTTCTTGTCAGAGTCAATACAATGTCTTCTTGTAGAGTAGGTAATACTTACAGAGAGACAGAAGTTGTTATTACAAGTATAACAGAAATAATAGAAGTGAGAGAAGAAGCAGATATATAAAATCCCTCTCTTCTTCAGCTGCTTAATGCAGTGTAGACAAGTAGCAGTGCCAGTTAGAGATCACATCAGAGCCTTCTCACAGAAAGAAGATGAAAGAACTGCAGAACTCTGTGAACTCAACTCAGCAGCATCTCAAGCAGAGCTCAGATGTGCTGCAGAAGAGAAACTATAGATTAGGCTTCTCAGAGTCACTGTTCTCAGAATCAAGCTCTTCTCAGATTTCTCTCTGAATGATCACATGGGGTTATATGTCACTGTATTGACTGAGAAGAGGGGCGGTGTTACAACAGCGGTGAGAGGGGCAGAAGATGAACTAGATGCAGACACACTGACCGGCAGAATCACTGTGACTGCAAGAGAAGCAGAAGAAGGTGTGACAATGAGAGCAGAGCTTTCACAGCTCATTGACATTATCTTCACCTTCAATCTGGCTTTCTTGATGGTCATGGAGATCACCGCCGCATCACAAAGACATTTACTCACTAGAAAATGTCAGAATAAGCTCTCTACTATTCTTCAAGAATGATACTCTCATGCACTCACTATTGCAGATGAGGAGAGGGGGAGAAAAATGTGTCACAGAGAGAAAGATCTTTCAAAAAAAATCCTGTCACTACTGTTAGCTTTGTCTCTAAAATACATCACTTTTGCAGGGAATTTCATATATAGAATGAAATATATTGAGAGATCTGCAAGTCACTTGTTAACTATGTTTTTCCACATTTTAAATCAATATATAAGAAACTCACTTACCATGCATTTGATTTGAATGAAGATGGGAAAAGAAAGATCTATACAGTCAGTAGAAAAACTTATCTTTGTGTTACACACAGCACACACACTATCAATCAGTTAGCAACTGTTGCTATACAACAAAGATAATTCCTAATTCAGTAATCTTGAGAGCATAGAGACTATACTCTTAAAGAGAAGAGTATTGTCACACTTCTGACCATGTCAAGACCTCATTGTGGTTTCACACAGCTCATCACTTTCATGCAGATAATTTCATCTCATCTGAATCAGTTTTCAATCACTCTATGATATCATTCAGATGTATCATAGAAAGATCTGATTGATGAATATAAGAATCTCACTTTTATACAAGATCAGCAGATTACTCTTCCTTGACAATGAGATGCTGCTGAGGTATTGCTCTGGCTATTCTCACTCATGAAATGAGAGGAGAGTATCTGCTCATTGTCTATATAGAATAGCTAGATGCTGGCTTCTTATCAAAGAAGTCAGCAATTTGTTTTACTCTGACTGAAATATATACAAGAGTTACTGCATGTCTCATACAATCTTCTTAGTATACTAAGTATTATATCTGTGATATCCTCGCAATAACCCTGTAGCCTATGAGCTCACTATTCAAGCAAGATAGTCAAGCTCACTTATACAGCTTCTCAAACAACTATCTCTATGTGTCGCCGCTGACTAGCCACCGCTTCGGTTCCGCCATGTTACAATATCAGTGATAGAAGAATTTCACTATTATAAGAAGCTTCTGATTATGAATGTCATAGTTGATCTCTGTGAGTTGCATCTTTCACAAGAAAAAGGCCACTGAAACCCAGTTCTCATTTAACTATAGTTGTGAGACTATTTCTGAAATTATAAAGAAGAAGACATCTGTCTTCAATCTGATTAAGAGTAAGAGATTAAAGTGAAACAGCATTACTGTATCTATGAATATCTGTTTTAATCTTATAAAGACTTCATAAGCTTCTGAAGTAAGAAAGTTCTCACAGTTCTCTCTTCTCAACAATCTTTTCATTCTCTGTTCACAGAATAACTTCTTCTTATTTTCATTCTTCAGTATGTCTGTAAGGGTTAAGAAGATTCTTGTGAATACAAAGATAAACTATCTATAGAAATTCACAAAGTTCAGAAAGATCTGAATCTCATGAATACTAGTTGACTTCAGTCATGATAGAATAGTCTCAATCTGTGAAGATTTCATCTGAATATCATCTGTGATGATTACATATTCTAGGAAATTAATTCAGTGAGCACTGAAGTTGCACTTCATAAGCTTAACATACAGTTCTGTCTCATCTAAGATCTTCAACACACTTCACACATACTCAGTGTATTCTTTCTTCTTCATAAAGTACATCATCACATCATTCAGATATATTATCATAAAGACATTCAGATATGCATGAAGTATTTTATTAATGAAAGACTGAAATGCTGCAGAGATATTAGTCAGATTAAAAGACATTACTAGATATTTAAACAATCTCAGAGCAGTTCTAAAGACAGTCTTTTATTCATTCTCAGACTGTATTCACAGCTGTGTATATGCATTGATCATATTCAGTTATATGAATATAACAGCTTCTGTGAGATGATTGATCACATTCTCAATCAGAGACAGAGAATAGTAAATCTTTGTTATCTTGAAGTTCAGATTACAGTAGTCTATATATAATCTGAGATCTTTATTCTTCTTCTTCATGAATATCACAGAGGCTTCTGTGAAGGCCTGTGAAGATTGAATAAAGTCATTCTTCAGATTCTTCTTTACATAGGTTCACAAGACCTCTGTCTTCTGATGAGAGAGCTTATAGATTAATTCTCAGAAGGGTTTCTACTCTTCTACTAAATCTATTATCAGATTCTTCTCATAGTGAGAAAGAAGCTCAGCTGTCTTTACTGAGCTGAACATCTCTATAAGATCTCAGTATTTCTCTGATATCTGAAGCTCAGTTTTCATAACTGCAAGATTCTCAGACACTTGCAAAGTCATTATATAGATGAGCTTATCTTCTCTGATTAACTCTACAGTATCAACTGATTCTATCTTTATAAGTGAGTCTGTTAACACTGATCAGAAGTATAAACCTGACTCACAGACAGCTATGTATGAATTGTGTCTTTAAAGTTATACAAGTCTCAAGTACATGTCATCTGTAATGTCTGTGATAATCACAGTTTTTATAAATCTTCTTCACATTTCAGAGAGATCTTACAATTCAAAGATAACTCTTACAAGTTTCTCAGCTCTCAGATCTGAGTTCTCACACTCTGCTTGTTGCAAGAGCAGGTTTTCAGTCTTCATCTTTCAGCTTATTCACTTCATGAGCTTTAGAAACATCACAGTGACCTGAAATTCTGAGTTCATTAATACTTCTCATACTTGCAGAGCAGTAGTACTGCAGCATGATCTCTTTCTATGAGTAAGCATTTTCATTGAGAGAGTAACAGATTCAGGTATCAGCTTCAAGACTCTTAAGAAGGCTGTTGCTGACTCTGTCTGTGACTTCTCAAATTTCTATTTTGATTTATTCAGACAGTTTGTATGAAGATATTCTGATTTAGAACAGATGAAGCAGAGTTTCTTTTTCTTAATCTCTCTATTATACACTCTATTCACAGAAGCTTATGAAGCTCTCTCTCTCTGCTTAGTAGTCAGATATGAACCTCTCTATGTCTTATTATCTTTTTCTGATAAACCTGTTCTCTGTTGTTCTGATTCTCACAGAGCTGATCAGTGATTCACTCTTCACAGATCTGTGACTCTCACAGTGATCTGTAAGTGATGAATAAGAGTCATCAGTTTCTTCAGAGTCAAGAGCTTAGAGTCTTGCTCAATGAGCTTGTTCTGCATATCTTTATTCAGCTTCTTTACAAACATCATCATTCAGGTCTTATTTCAGAGCTCTGTTTTCACAGATCTTAATTCATATCATAATTTTATAAAGTGCTGTGAGTAGTCTTTATCAGATTTTTCACCTCTTTTTCTAATATTGATAATTGCAGCTCAGATGTTCTCTGTTCAGCTTACAGAGTCTCTCAACTTATTCTCTAGATAGATCTTGAGAACAGATTATCAGAATCTCTTATAATCATTCTCTAGATAATTCAGCCAGTTCTTGACTTCAGTGTAATAGAGATCTGTTATTATGTAGATAACAGCTTCTTCATCTTTCATATCACACAGCTGAGCTTGTGAGTCAATTTTAAATACAAACTCATAAAAGCTTTTATAGATTGTGATTTAATAGATAATCTTAAGTGATTATAACTTGAGAAAGTTTCTTTTCAATTCATGAGTATCTCTGAAGATCATGTCTAGAGACTCAGTTTAAGAATGTTTGCAGACAGTAAGCATTTCTTGTAGAAAAATAGCTTAATCTTATAGAAGATGCTCAAGAATGTTCTTCACTGAGATTGATTTATTCATAGATTTGAAGAATTTCTCTGTCACAGATGTAGAGAATGATGTTCTGTGAGTGATTGATAAGTTCTCTGAGACTTCTTTTATAAGAGTTATTCATAATTCAGATGACTGCTTCTGAGTGTCTGCAGTAGAGTTTGCAGAGATTGAAGTATATGAGTTTCTAGTTCTTTCAGTTATAACAGACAGTTGCTGACTGACTGAGCTTGAAATGTAAGAATAAGTGCTCATAGATGATTATTCAGGTGTTTACAGCTTGATGTGATATGTACTGTTAACTACTAGAAGTATTCACAGTAGAAAGATAAAATATAGAGATCAAATATATAATAGCATTCAAGCTGAGTTATGAATAGTATTCATGAACTCCAGTCTATATAGTTGTGTGTAGCCAAGGGCCGCTAGCCCTATTGGTTACGCGAGAGATAGAAATAGGGGTAAAGAATCCGCGAGGAGCGGGATTTCTTACATGCAGTCTCACAGGCCTATAATCACCTTCTCTCTGCCTGTACAATTTCTGACCAGGTATATACAAATATGTCTAGATTCTCTATCAATGGTCCTCACACTGCAGCGCATTTTCACAATCTTATTGTCAATAAGAGATGAGTTCTCAGATACCTGCAAAATCTGAGTAATCAAGACAATGCAAATGTCATGAATTTGTGATAAGAGTTAATCTGAACAGATGAGCTCTCTCTTCATATCTCAATTATTTTCAGACTGAATACTTCAATACAACTGAGAAAGCAGACACAGCTTTATAAGAAATATCTAGTCACATGCACAGATAATCAGTCTTCAAGACTCTGCTATAACTGTATATACTCTGATGTTCAGCTTCTCTGAAGTCTGTGTATTTTTAGAAGTCTTTATATTAAATGCAACAATTATCTGTACTGTGAATATAATACTCTCTGCTTCTTTGAAGAGAGAAATTGATAGTTGTGAGAGAATTAAGTATCACAGATATTAAGAGTGTGAGTATGAATTTTCTTTATTTTTTCTTTATTAATCTCTAAATTATGTTCACAGCTCTGTTTATTTTCTTGTTTTTTAGCTTTAATAAGAATATGATTTCTTCTTTTCTTGTATACACTGCAGACTGTTTATCTCAGTAGAAACTCATTATCTTATAGACTAGAGTTTATAAATAATAGTGTTAATATCTTTATTACAATTAGATTCTTAGTGAAGATCATGTCATTCTGACTTATCAGAATTTATAGTATGAAAGTCATGTCTCAGCTTCTACAGATATCTTATCTGCTCAGATAATTCTTAAGTAAACTTATTCATTTTATCAGAATACTCTTATCACTGAATCTTAAACTAGA